CCGCAGCCCAGGCTGTTCCAAGCCTCATCCAGCCTGGCCTTGGACACTCCCAGGGATGGGGCATCCACAGCTCCTCTGGGCAACCTATCCCAGTGCTCCCCACCCTCTGCAGGAAGAATTCCTTCCTGATGTCCCATCTCAATCTCCCTCTTTCAGTTTAAATCCCTTGTTCTGTCACTCCTTCCTCGTAGGAAAAGTAACCCCCCCAGCTTCCTTGTAACACCCCCCCACCCCCCCCCCCCCCCCTTTCAGACACTGGAAGGGGCTCTAAGGTCTCCCCGGAGCGTCTCTTCTTTGTAGCTGTGAATCCACTTTGATCTGTGCTCTGGCTGCACTGAATTGGTGGGTAGGTGAATGAGGTAAAGAGAAGCTGCTCCTGTAAGAAGGGGATAATCAGGCTTTTACAATGCTCCTTAAAAGTCAAGTTTAAGGATGTGTAAAGGCACTTTGGATATTTAATCAGTTATTATTTCTGGATATAACAACTGCGAATAAATCCCGACCTTTCCTGATCCTGAGCTGAGTAACAACTGGAAGAGCTTATTTGTCCACTTGGGAGGATTATGCTTGGTCACTTCCATCCGGACGGTCTGCTCCTGGGCCTTACCTCTGCGGAACGGTGCGGTCCTGCAGTGGTGATCTGCGTTGGCTGGGTGACACCGTGCAGGGATTCCCACAGGCCAGGGTTAGGGCCAGGACTGAGCCAAGGCTAACGAGGCCTTGTTTGCCTATGTGGAGGGGTTTCTACACTGTGATTTCCTGCTTCTCAGGTACCCTTGTGCTTGTGTTTATCAGTATGGGAGGCTGTGCCCCCCTGATTGATGGCATGTTGGTGTTACGCTGCATCCGTGGTTGGGAGTGGTGCTGGAGAGCCCTCCAGGTGCTTAGCAAAGGGCCCTGGAGCTTCTGGATATTCACACATCCCATGGCACAGGCATCCTGCAACTTGTGTGCTTATGTTGGCTCAGCACTTGAGGGTGCGTGCCCAGAAAAATATAATAGAGCTGTTTTTACTGTTTCACTGTTTCAGGTTCTTGTGCCATTCATCACACGGGAAACACCCCCGGCAGAGAACAGAAACCAGGGGATTAGTCAGGCACTGCACCCTGCAAGCCGTAGGGAGCTGGCAGCTTGTGCACCAGCAGTGAGTGGATGCAGCCGCGCTGTACCGTCCCCTGCCAGACACTGTTGGAGAATCCTGCCCCCTCTGCCTGGCAGCTGAGCTCCGAAGTGGGCTGGTGGCTCTGCCCCATCCCTGGTGATGCTCCTTCCACTGGGATGGCGACAGGGGCAGGTGGATCCCTGCCAGCTCCAGAGCCAGCCACGGCGAGAGGCCAGCAGCGGAGGTTTGGCTCGGGGACAGTGGGCAGGATGCGTGTCCTGGTTCCCGCGGCCCCTGCCCAGGATGCTCATCCGGGCCCTGGAGCACGGGATGGCTTCGCGCACCCTTCTCCGTGGGGCTGCTATGCGAACAGTTTCCCAGAGGTTTATATAGGGAGGAAGTAATTCTCCCTAACAAATAGCTGTCTGCGGGCAGCGTTTTGCACGCAGCGGTGGAAAGCTGACTAAAAGGGATGCGTTTTTCCAGCAGGTGTTTGGATCCATGTAGTAATTCCTTGAAACTAAATGTAAAAACCTGCAACGGCATGAGTTAATTGAGTTTTACGTGCCATTAACTCAGATCTTACTCTCGGGCAGGATCGGCTGCCTTCGGGGCATGTTAATTTGCACCACATAAGTATTTCATGTGTGCTAATCGGGGACGGGGCTGTCCTTGAGCTGTGCACGGCTGCGGAGCGAGGGCAGACGGGATGCCACGCACCGTCGTCGTGAGACAGCGTTGTTAAGCCGGGCTGTTGCAGTGCCGGGGCAGGCAGGTTGCGGGGTGCTGGGGTTGGCACTGGCTGGCTCCCAGGGATGCTTCCCTCTCACTGGGCACAGGAGATGCTTCGGACAGGGATTTGACCCAAAATGCATTCCCATCTCCCAATTCCTATTGCTTGTCCACCGTCACATCCCGTCAGTGCTCTCCTCTCTGTGTTACATTGTTACCTCCACGCTTTTGCCTTTCCTTTGATTTCTTTACTCCATTTTCCCTGCCCATGGCAGGCTGTGGGACTGGAAGGTTTTTAAGATCCCTTCCAATCCAAACCATTCTGTGATTCCATGGTTTTCCTTCTCAGAAAGCTATTGCTGCTTACAGTTACCTCCTGCTTCCCTCTTCCACTTGTTTCTTTCCCAGTTTTCCATTATCTGTCACTTTTTAATGCCCTAACCTGTCATAGGGCTTGTCCTTGAAAACACCTGCATCTGCACAAAGCCTCCTCAAAAGCCCCAGGAAGAAATCCCGGGCACCAGAGGTCCCCATCCCGCTTCCCCACAGAGGTCTGTCCCCTGCCGCAGGCAGGCAGGTGGTCCCTAATGTGGGGAG